TACCTCATCCGAGCTCGTCTCTTCTTTACCTCTGAGCTCGGGCAAGACACGGGTGGCAGTTCGGCAACTTCGCCGGCCCCTTCGTTGCTGAGTGGGCCTGGTGCTGGCGCTGCTGGCCTCTGTGTTGCCGAGCTCGATGGGCCCGGGCTGTTGGTAGTCTGCCGCCAGGACGCTGAACCGATTCTCTATTAGCGGGAGCTCAGACTTGGAGTGTCGAGATACTGACTTGGCAAGCGAGGTGCCCGACCCGCCGGCGAGCTGCGAGGCGGGGGTGATCTTTCTTTGCCCTCGGCCCGGGGATGAGGCCTGGCTCTTGTGGGGGTTYTGAGGTTGGGAGGCCTCTCCTCGGTGACAGCGTCCACCCTGAGGGGAGGGCTTAACCGGCTTTGGAGCAGGGTGTCGAGGTGGGAGCAGTGGTTGATTCAGAGGCAGTTGGAGGAACTGCTGCTGATAGTGATACTGGGAGATGTGGTGCAGTACTTGGTGCTGCTGGAGCTGATGTTGCTGGAATTGTTGCATTTGGGCTTGCATTGCCCGCATGCATTGCATCAGGTCGTCCAACTGGTTCTGGCTGGTCGCCAGGGGGACAACAGTTGGTTTAGTAAAGGTTGTTTAGACAGGGAGAGGAAAGGGGACATTCATGGTAGGAAGGTTTACGGGCGCCACTGTTTGTAGTGCATTCAAGCTGGGGATCCCATCCACCGGAAGGGGGATGGTGAACTATCCGATGCACACCACGGGAACTTGAAGTTGTTCCCCGGTGGTGTTCACCTCCGTGCCACGTCCGGCATTGCTGGAAGAAGCCATGAGTGTTGGGGTTTTGGAAAAAAGAGGTTATGAGAGTTTTAGAGGGAGGCTTTTAGAAGCGTTTTCCCACAGACGGCGCCAATTGATGGTGCGCAATCCGGTCGGTCCTAACTGTCAACGACCTTGCCTCTGACTGGAGCAACAGGGGGGCCTAAAACGGAGAAGAAAGTGGAGAATCTCCGGGGAGAAACCCGGTGAGATCACTCCGAAGCTCAAGTTAATATTCTCTCAAAGGCAAGGTAAAACAGATGGCGCAAAGTTCACATACCTTGTCCTCGGGGGGTAGAGAGCCTTTTATAACCACTTTGCGCACTCACTCCTAGGCTTCTGTCAGGTCGGGTATGATTACTTTTGTGCTTCTGCCAGTTCGGGTGTCATCACCTTTGCTGGGACAGAACCGCTACTGCTCTTTGTCGGAGCCGTCTCTGTAACTGGAGATGGCGGTGGCAGGTGGCCATTGGAGTGCGGCTGTCAAGCGTCAGATCCCAAATCAGTCAGGTGCACCGCCCCTGGATACGGACTCTTTCGGTGTCAGGTACGGTGTGGTTTGTCTAGTTCGGCGTCCTGGAGGTGAAGTGCTGGAGTGGTGTGCGAGGTGAAGTCTTGAGTTCGGATAGAGGTGTGGCCCGAACTGCCATGGGGCAGGCTAGTTCGGGTTGTTGCCCTTTGTGTTTGCAAGGCTCGGGGCCTAAGGGAGAGTTCGGGCTCCTTTCGGGGAGTTCGGGCTCTTTACAGGGAGTTCGGACCACTGGTTCCTCCTTTCGGAGCTCGCGCCTTGGCGAGCTGTTGTGCCGAGCTGTTGCCTTTGCCACGTGTTGAGTGGCTACGAGGTCGGGCCAAATCTTCCTTCATCAAGAACTATGGAAAGATCTACAACTGAATCAATTATTAATTGAAACAATTAGGTATAAATTGTTCATGGGTTGCAACCAGAAGAATTTATAGCAGCCCCAAATACCAAGTTAGTAGAAACCAACTTTTCTACATGATTTGATTGTAACAGATTCTTCTTCTTTTGAATAGATGCTTTGTTTTCATACAAAAAAAAAAAGGACGAGGAGAATTTTATACATTACCAACCCTATAATCAGTTTAGAACCGGAAGAACCAGTCCTGAATCTCGTGATCCAATTATTAATCAGGATAAAACCACGGGACCAAACCCACCGATAGTACCTATCTTCATCAAAAAATTTAGCCCTTTGAGCAACAGAGTAGACTGCAATTTGAATCATAAGTTCTGGGGTTTCATTGTTTGAAGAGCAGAGCTAAATGGCTACTCTTACTACAGCTAATATAAGACCCGAGGATAGACCAACAATCATCTCATCTAGTATCTATGAGGCTAGACCAAACGCAAGATTTGAATCATACTTAATGGGGTTTGATTGTTTGAAGAGATCAGAGATGTGCATATACCATACATTTATGTATAATTAATTACACAAGAATGTTACAATAGAACCCTGTATACACCACTCAAAATTTTCATATATCTAGCAAGGTTAAAATTGAATGCATCTTGCTAGGAGGAAAACCTTGAAGCATTTTAGCAAAAGAGTGATTAATTAGGTTAATTAGATAAAACAGGTAAAAACTAACTTAGCCATATATTTAAGACTGGTTAAGCTAATTAATTAGGATGTGCATAACCATTGACACTACCATCTGGAGACATCTCTATTTGCCTTCCCTTGGATCCGTTCCTCTGTTCATCTTCCTTGCTGTTGATGTCTGACGACTTCTCTGTTAGTTTCCTCTTCGACTTGCTACTTGATCCATCTACCTTTTCATCAACAAATGACAAGAATGTTTGAAGGCGTGCAGAACGTGAACTCTCATGACCAGAAGAATCAACTTCATTGGGAAATTCTTGGTTGAACTGCCGTACCATCAATATGAAGTATAGAAACAATGCTATAAAGCATGCAATGCCACATATGAGAAAGAGACCCCAGAAGCTCCTTAGATGAAGCCGATCTGATTCAAACTCAGTGCCACGCGAACTGCAAGTTTTACTAGTGAGCCACTTGTCATGAATCCTTTGGAGATCACCATTCTCTGATAGTGTCAAAATGGCAGTGGACATGTCGACAGCTAGGGGAGAGTCTCTTGGAAATGCCTAAGGAAACAAGAAAATAACAGAAGAATGTTAATACAATGACACTTAAAAATATCAACCCAAGATGCTACTTACCATAAACATATCAACGCAAGAAATTAACAAAGAATGCTAGCCTATACCTTAATTATTAAACCAGCGCATGGACCTAAATAGGCATTTAGACATGGCTATTTAGGGAGCCCAATTTGCAGATATGTCCATACAAGCATAGCAAGGTGGTGGAAAATATATTGAAGTATAGAAAAGCTGGTAATCAAGGAAGCAATGAACATTAACAAAACAGAGCACAAACAATATAATGTTTCTAATTGAATTGTTCCGAGTTTTTATTATCTTTCAAATATGCACCACTCTGTTCTGAATCATCCTCAGTATGGTTTGCACTACTTTATCTCAGTTTTCCTGGTTCCCAACTTCAAATTTAGAGTCTGGACTTATTAGTCTTATTATAATACAATGTAAAGTTGAAATGAGTAGTATCAAATCCTATCAGCATCACCTGGATCAGACACTGAAATCAAGGAACAACACCTTGTTGTTATATAGATACTTACAAATCCCCATCCACTTTTGGTGAATTCCCGGCCTACTATTGAGAACTTGCACTGCTTTGAGAGGAAAAGCTCCACATATGAACGCTCATCTACCACGGCAGCAACAGTTCCCTTATCAAGGGCTGTGGCATACTCTTCTGGTGACCCAAGAGCAACAAGTCTAGATTTAGGAATGTTGAATTCCTCGTTCAAATAGTTTTCAGCAAAAGACCCTACTTGGAATCCGATAGGCTCTGTGCTTGTCATCAAGGTTTCAATTCCTTTGATTGGTGAAGAGAGCTGTTGAACTGTGAGGATTGAAGTGAGACTTGCAGTGTAGCTTGAGTTGATTATCAGAACCACAAATAGCCATATGATCAACACAAATCGTCCAAGGGTGCTAACTGTGTTCTCTCCTGCAAGAACCACAAAATCAACTAAATAAAACTGTTTAAATGGCCATCAAACTCCTTGTATGGAGATAGAATTAATGTTCATTTTGTTTCACTTACGGTGTGCAAAAAACAAAGTTGAGAGACTGAACCTGCAAGTTGAGAAAAGAAGGGCATATCAGATGTCCTACAAAAGGTGTAATAGGGAGGCACCATTCCAACCAGAGATACAAGCAAGACATGAAAGAATATGTCTGAAAAGAACTCAACTCAACTCCGCCTTAATCCCCAATACTAAGGCAGATAAACCAGATAAAATATATTAACTTGAAACTTCTGATATGCTACAAGATCTAGGCATTCAATTGATTCTGAATACAATAAAATTGCTTTATTGCAACATATCCAAGTTCTTTTATTCATATAAATCATAAAGCACGATGTTTGGGTTATTTCATTTAACATAGATAACAGGAGATTTTTTAAGTACTTACCACAAAATTGTAACAACTTGTCTTTTAGGTGGCCCCCGGAATTCATCATTCATCCTATGCTCCAAAATCCAGACAACTGCTCCCACGATAAGAAAAAAGGCTGCCGTTACACACCACATCATTGGAGTGAATGGGCGAAGGAAAGCCCAAGCACTGGAGTTCAGCTTCCTGACTGGAGCCACTATTACCAGGCCTGATTCAATATATGGCTGTGTAAAATCCACAATCCTTGTTCTGTTTGTGACAATTGTAACATCACCTATAACAGCATCAAAGTCCTACAAAGATGCAAATTATAATCAATTAAAGTAACATAGGAACCTTAATTCGTAGAGGAAGTTATTAGTTATGCTAGTACTTACATCTGTTGTAATCAAACGCACAAGCTCATTATAGTTTGGATTTTTAAGACCATCACCATAGGGAATGAACCTATATGGAACAGCATATGGTAGCAAGTTTATGGCAGCAAGAAATACATCTATGCAGTAACCTTTGACCATATCGGTACCACTTACTTGTGAAATGAATTCCCGAAAACTAACTCGGTTGGGGATGCCAATCCTTAATTGCTTACCATTGTTAGGGAAAACCCACCCACGGGGCTTTGTCAATGTTTCCCCTGGCCAGATAGGATTATATAATTTTTGGTTTGAACTTGATCGGTTAGGTGGCTTAGCATACAGAGACTCAGGAGGCACAACCGATAGCCCAGAATAATTAGACCAGTAACCAATCTGCCGAAACCCAGTTCCAAGCACATTAATGATGTCAAATGCAGGATTTATAATGGATCTCTCTGGATTAAATCGAATGGGTCCAGTTAAGCCCATCATATTGGTTTGCAGTATGTTGTTCAGCAATTGCTTCCCTCCATTAAAGATGCTCATTGCTTCAAGGTTCAAAGCCCCTCCCACAAAATCACGTAATTTTGTATCATTCGAGAATGAAATGGTGCCCCCCTGATCAAGTAATGCTTTGATGGCATGAGCAATTATCCATACAGTATCATAGGCATATAGACCATAGGGATTCAAGCCAATAGAACCACCACTCAACTGACTCCACCTAGAGATGAAAGCTCTTTTCCTTTCTGAATTGGGTGTGTGGGGGCGCAGTGTAAGAGCTCCTTTGATAGAATCACTGGTCACTGAAGAGAGAGGAGAAGTAGAATCCAAAACAGTAGATAGCCAAGAAGTTGCTATCCACACATAACCATTCCCCATCATTCCAAGAGAGTGAGCCACGTCAAAGACCAAGAGACCTGATTTAGAGTAAGTGATCAAAACCATCACCCGAGACTCCATTAATGCCAATTTAACCAGTATATCCATAATTTCATCTCGTGTAGCTTCAGGGTCAGGGGGAAGAGCAGCTTTATAAGATATCTTGCAGCGTCTCTCTGCAAGTTTATCACCTAGTGCAGCTAAACCATTTCGCCCACCATCATCATCAGTGAAGACTGCAATTACCTCTCTCCAACCATAATAACTCACAATTTCTGCAATTGCAGACATCTGGAACAGATCATTGGGTGCCGTTTGCACAAAGAATGGATACTGAAGAGAAGAGAGAGTGGGATCCAGGGCCGTGAAAGACAATAGAGGCACTTGGAGTTCGTTTGCAAGATGTGAGATTACATGCGCCATGATAGAATTCTGAGGACCAATGATGGCCACAGTATCCATCTCCATATACTGTAGAGCTGTAACAAGTAGCAGAATTGGAACCACAAATATTAGATTATCTAACCAAGGCAAGACTCGTTGCAAATAATATGAGAATCCACAATATGGCATTGCCAAAAGCAAGCGAAGAGATATTCAAAACACATAGTACCCCCAATAATGCCGGAAAATCCGCTATAGTTGGAGTCATGCAATGTAAGAACCAATTTGCTTCCACCAAGAACACTAGGATCAGAATTCACATCATCCACAGCAGCTTTCATGGCAATCTTCGCAACTCTCCCATTTATAGTATTGAAGGTGAAAATAGCTCCGATGTTCAGGACGGAGGGTCTTGGACCACCATTTGACAACACTCCGAAGTAAAGGATTGACAGTGGAACAAGCCAAACCAGGTTCATGGTGAGATTAAATGATGAAGAACCAGATTATCCCACCCTGTTTACAAATCATACAGATGTCGAAATGAAGAGAAAAAAACAAGGGGCTCAAAACCCAATTACCAATTCAAAATGAAAAACTCATAAATACACACAGAAAAACATACAAAGCTCAAACTCTAGTGATAGATAACAGACATTCGGAATTATAAGAAGAGATCGAATAAAACGTGGAAAACCTCAACCCAATGCTACACAATCAGCCGCGAAAAACAGTATGTTTTACCAATCGAGCTTTGGCTTATAAGAAAAAGGAGGAGGAGGAGGGGAAGGAGAAGGGGAAGGAGGAGGAGAAGGAGAAACGAGGGCTACTGTAACCCCAAAACCAAAATTCCATTAACAGCATAAGAAAAGAAGTTTTCACTTTCCACCAAACCTGTGACAAGAATGTAAAAATCAAGGTAGAGACTCACCCCAGAGAGAAGAAATCATGACGGAAGGAAAGGCAGAGCAGTATTGAACACAGCCCTTATTTTTTATTTTGAGAAACAAGAGAGATGCATTTCTGGGGGAAAAATGGTCATGTGAATTTTAAAAAAGCAGCCACGAAGCAACAAGAAAAAAAACAAAAGGAGAGAATCAGTTAGCTCAGAAGTGGCAACTTTCAATTTAAAATTTCAGATAATTCAAGATGGAGAAAGAGAATACCCAATATTCCCTGTATTATTGCTGAAAGAAACTTGGGTCAGTTGGGTTCCACTTCCCAAATCCCACCTCCCCAGTCCCCACTACTAGTTTTATGGAAGCAACACCAAGTAGTCCCTTGTCTGGCGACCACCGGTCGATAGTGGCATGATTGAAAGCTTGAAACTGAGAGGATAAATGCAAGATATGGAGAGAGAAGCTCAAGGAACCGAAGAGCGGTATCTGGGGTATGGAACATGAAGTGGGTGATGACGACGATGGTGCAGGGATGATGATGATGATGGATATAAATATAATATGCATGATGGCATGAATATGAGTCAACCATGGATGTGGAAATTACTGGGTTTCTGAATTTATCCTGGGATTAGGTTAAAAAGGGACGGGGTGGTGGAGATTTTCTTTCAAAATTGAACGAATGGCAATATGGCATTTCTCTCTCTCCTTTTTTATTTTTAATTTATTTCTGTGGATGGTCTTTGCTTGTCGTCTTTCCAGATGCAGACAGATTTGTCTTCTGCAACGAGACCCCGCCCACCAGTCCAATTCTTTCGAGTCCGCATCTGCTAGTCCCTTGGACCAGCATCTTGCTAATCCAAACCAATAAAAAACCTTCACGAAGCCCCAATTCCTTTAATTGAAAAACTAACGGCAGTCTTAGGACTCCAAAATGAACTATGAATTTCGCCTTTAAAATCCTTTTACTCTCCCTAAACTGCGAACTTCGGCGGTAAGATCATTTTTACCAAAAACCAGAAAAACTTTCACCGTTATTTTCTCCGATATAACCAGGTATATTTCCCTCCGATCTCCTCTTCCTCTTCTTCTTTTACATCAATATCATGGATTTCGATTAGCTTCGACTAACAGACTAACAGAGTTCATGTTTAACCACTAATAGATATTATAAAAACTTCACAGGGTTGTCATCCGAGTTATTGTCATCGGAATAACTGTCGCCGTCTAAACTATTCTATTCAAATGATCGCCGCCGTCCAGTGCCGTAATTCACGGTTCACATTTCAGGGAGGAGGGTAAAAGGGTTCACAGTCCGCCGCCGTCCAACTTCTTCAAAAGCTAATTGGTTTGGGAAAAAAGAGACATGTCATTTGGAGTGTAGACTGCCGTTAGTCTGGACTCCCGTAAGGTTTTCAATTAAAAAGGCTTAAGCTAACTTTCAAACGTTTCACTTCAATATCCGAACTTTTAAAAACTCTCACTTTGGTCCGGAACCGTTAACCGACATTAGCTGGTAAGTGGAATGACACAAATACCCATAGCGGTCCGTAAAAGAGAGAAATCCTTTTTTAAATGTCGAAAGTACCCCTCTTTAAACCCTTTTTGGTTGAGACGGACAACCACTGTTCACAACAAACACAGAGCTCCTGTTCGAAGTTGCGTCGCCGCCGGCGAGTAACTTGGAAAGCGTTGCCGGAGAAAAATACCGGTGTGTTCAGTCACCACCGACGATCAAGGGTTACTGGAACCCATAGTCTACGATTTTTTTTGTTTATTTACGAAACCCTTACCGTAAGAAACCAGTTCAACGCTGCCGTCGTCATCGGAGAAGACAAACGGAGCTTGTCGTCGTCAGAGAAGAAAGGTAACTTCGGACCTTAGGACCAGACAACACCTAGATAGATCACTCCTCTGGTGTTCAATGAACCAAAAAGAAATCTGCTTCCCAATGGATGGTTTTTGAGATGATCAAATAAAAGGGGTTAAATCACCTGCAACATGTTCTTGCTATTTATCATTTAAATAATCTAGGGAGAATGCACGTATTTTTGAAAATACAGTCAGAGTTGCTCTTTACTCTTGGATGTTGATTCAAAGGGGGGACCAATCGCCCATTTCCTTGCAGATGGGTCACTAGTGAAGGTACCGAGGTACATATCCTCATGGTTTGGCATACTCTGCAATTGGGTAAATGCCACCACTGAAGTCTCTTTTGGTACTTAACACTGCACACATGAAGGAAAGAATGAAGTCTCTTGAAGACATGGATAGTGGGAGACATCAGATGATTAAATTTTGGTCAATTTATTTGGGTGAAGATTTTGTTTGTGATGTTAATACCCAAAATGGTCTCTTCCAAGTTGCGACCTGCACACATCAGAGGCACAGTTTCTTTAATTTTATTGTCTTAATGATATATGGATCAGGTCCCATGAAACAATCTTTAGCTCACATTTTACTTCAGATGGAGAAATTGGGAACCGGTCAGGCGATATTCCATTTTATCCTAGAACCGTTATTTTGCCAAAAAAACTGTTGATTTAGTGAGCAAATCGTTGATTTGGGCGGTTAAATCGTTTGAACCGTTCAATAATTTTGACCATTTTTTATTTTTTTAAATTTTTATTAGAATGGGCCGTCTGTTTGATTCGAACGATCAAACGTTCAATTCGGAAACCGGACCCCTGACTGGTTCGTTATTCCGTTCCGTTTAGAAACCGTGATAAGATGGCATCACCTCAACTTGGATTTTTTTTATGAAAAATTGCTGATAGAGATACTTTTGCGACAATTTAGTACCTGCGTTAATTCACCGTTAAGTGTGAGGAAAAAGTTTTATTAATTTTTTTACTGTTCACCGTCATTGTTCATCGTCTCCTTCGTTTAACACCGCCCTAATACAGAGAGAGATGGAGATGGGACCTGCAAGTACAATTCCACCTTCCGCCTGCATCTGCTGCCACCGGATTCGGGGGATGGAATTCTCCACTACCATACCTCTTCTCCTCCTCCGGGGGAAACCCATGAACCCAATGAGGAAACCAGCATTGGATAACTCGACTGTGATGATTGACGAGATCAACTTGCTTAAAGAGAAGTTGACAGAGAAGGAGAAGCAATTGGACATGGTTCGGGAAGAGAACGAGCTCTTGAAAAAGAAGATGAAGGAGGCAGCGGTGAAGTCTGCTTCTTTTCTAGTTATGGAGGAGGAATCCGCTCTGTAGAAACACCAGATGACCTGACCACTTTCGGCTACCTTCATCTGTTTTGACCACCACCTGTCTAGCATCGTTGAACAACTTTAACGCGGCAGAGGACTGGAAACACTATCAGAGCTGAAGCGGGAAGTGGAAGATGTGGATCATTAGGTACATCTCCGTTGTGATTTAGAAACACCAGAAGAAGTTGAGGATGCAAACAGAGCAGTGGAGGAAGGCAGCCGATGCAGAATCGGCGGTGTTGGCCGACGGAATGGAGATGAAACTGAGAAAAAAACAACAAAGCCCACCGCCCGACACCGACTATAGGGTTGTCGTCCTCATTCTCAGAGACAACGAGCCAACATTCATCGCAAAGCCCGTCTCTTCACCCAACATCAGTAGCAGTGATGAAAAGAGCCCCAAGAGAGAGAAATACAGAGAGAGAGATGGAGATGGGACCTGATGCCACGACTTAGTTGCGGCTTGACAAATGCCCCCAAGTTAAAAGAGCTGCCCCCTCTGTTTTTCTCTGCTGTAGCACTAAGAACACTGTACATCAAGAACTGTCCTCAGTTGACTTGGACGCCATTTTCGCCATCGCCATGTCTTCTACAACAGCTTGAGGAGTTGGAGTTAGAAGGTGGTTTTTCAAGATCATTACCATCAAATAACAAAATAAAGGTATTGACTATATGGTCTTCGCCTTTTGAGTCACTCCCTAGTGGTCTGGAAAATTTAACGGCACTTCAAACCTTGTGGATCCGCTTTTGCTACTTTATTATTCCTGTGGAGTTGCAACGTCTCACATCGCTACAGAAGTTGGAGATTTATCGTTGTCATCTACTATAAGAACGTTGTAAGAAAGAAGCAGGAGAAGACTGGATGAAAATATGCCGCATCCAGCGAGCCTTTTGGATTCTGTTAGATGATGGTGAATAATGTATTTTTTAAGGGTAATTTTGGTATTTTCAAAATTCTTAAATTGCAGATGAAAATTTAGATATTATATTGTTGTATTTTAAAATTTGAGTATTAAATTGGCACTCGGCCTAAAATATAGGATACTTATCAGAAATTTTCCCTTTTGTAAAAGAGAAAGAGAGAAATCAAGAAGGACCTCATGTTCTTACTAAGACTCCTATTTAACTATCAAAGGTTCTTCACTCAAATGGATACACATTCTCTGCCCTATCTTGATATGAGTCTAATGTGCAAAGGATTCAAATGGGCTGCTTGGACCTAAGTTCATCATGATAATTGGATGATATTTTTTATTCAAACAGTAGTAGATGCAGTTCATGGAGGTAGGCATGGTTTGAATTGTCTTTTGGAGTACTTATTTACTTTTGACTCCTGGGAAGAATACTCTTGTGAAGGATGAAGTTCTTTTGGAGTTTTGAAAATAGCCATTAATTGATGTGAAGACCATTGACTCCAAACATTTTTGGGTTTATGTTTGTTCTATCAGTGCCTCTCTCTCCCTCTCTTTCTGTTTCCCCGCCACACTTGGCGAAAACCACCATGAACTTTCCCTCCAAACCATCATTTTTTTCTTTGGACATATTGAAAAATTTAAGCCGTCACATGTCATCATGTCACTAACATATGTGATGGAGTACTAGCGACAGGGACCAAAGCGAGAGTTTTCAAAAGTTTGGATATTGTAGTAACACGTTTTAAAGTTTGGGTACTAATTTGACATTACCTCGAAGTTTAGAGTATTAAAGTGAAAGTTTCTCTTTTTTCCCGTATGGTAATTTGTAAGGACTAGGGGTGGCAATTTTTCCTGTCCCGGACGGGTACCTGGGCCTTGAAGTAGGCCAACCCTATGTATGTGCATTTATCTGTTAACATATAAAATAATGTTTATTTTTTATTAAAAGAAATTAATGGAATTTAATGGTGAAAATGGAGTCGGGGTTGGCTCTCTCACACATACAGCACATTGCAGCTGTATTTGTATGCTGTCGTTTATGAGAAAATGTTTCTAATATTCGGTTGCAATGTGGATTGGCTCAGTTTGAAAGGAATACAAATACAAATATGTAGAGAGGGGAACCTAATCCTTCGTGAAAATGTTCATGAGCCTAATCCTTCGTGGAATCTCATATTTTATATTATTTTTGTATATATTTACGCTATATTTGTATTTATACTATTCCGAGTCTAAATTGGTGAAAATGTTCATGATCACAATTCTTTTGTCAAACCTTATATTTTATATTATTTTTGTATATATTTATATTATATATCAATAGTTTTAATCTTTTTTTATTTTTTTGTCAGAACGGACCGACCATTCATTCAATTCAAACGATTGGGTTGTTCAACCGAAGAATCGGACCCTTGACCAATTCATTGTCCAATTCAATTTTAAAAACCTTGCTGTGTATATTTGTATTTATATTATTTCGAGTCCAAATTCGTAAAAATGTTCATGAGACTATAAATCCTTTATCGACTTTGAGGTTAGGTGGGA